GGGCAGTGGCTGTAGTCGTCGCAGCAGAGCAGACGCACGTGGTAGTTGAGGCACATCCTGAAGCGGCCGCCCTGGTCTCGGTTGCGGCACATCAGCCCGAAGCGCACGTCGCACAGCACCACCTGGCCCACGTCCTCCAGGCTCGCGTCCGGCGCCTTCTCTGCTCGGCACTCGATGTCCTGAGGCTGCTCGCAGAAGCTGTGGCCGGCAGCGCGGAGGACAGAGAGGGTCTCAAAGTCCCCGCCGTCGGCAACCGGGGTGGGGTAGTCCTCATCGAACCAGTCTGTCCACGTGCACCGTGGCGTGCAGGCCCCAGGGGTTGTGGAGGTCATGGAGGTGGTGGAGATCGGGGTCGGCCTCAGGGAGCTGGTGGGCAGGGAGGTCCCAAAGGTGGGACTGGAGGACGGGGTCCCAGGGGTGGTCTGAATGGGGGAGGTGGCCACGTGGGGAGCACTGGGCGAGGCTGGCTTGGCAGTTGTGGTCAGGGTCCCTGTGGAGGCAGAGGGACTTGGGACAGAGCGCCACTGGGTGGTCCTGAGGGAGGTGCCAGCCGTCTGGGTGGCGGGGACACTCTCTGTGATCCTGGGGGACGAGGGGGGTGACTGGGTGGTGGCCGTGGTGCTGACCTCGGTGGGCCCGGAAGTCCGCTGGCTCGTGCTGGTGGGCGTGGCCGTGCTGGTGGGTAGGGCCGTGCTGGTGGGCATGGACGTGCTGGTGGTCATGGCTGTGCTGGTGGGCATGGCTGTGCTGGTGGGCAGGGCCGTGCTGGTGGCCATGGCCGTGCTGGGGCAGTGGCGGTAGTCGTCACAGCAGAGCACACGGATTTGGTAGTTGAAGCACATCTTGAAGCGGCCGGCCTGGTCACGGTTGCGGCACACCAGGCCCTCCTCCAGCCTGCACAGCACCACCTGGCCCAGCTGCTCCAGGGGCACGTCAGGCAGCGACGAGGCCCGGCACTCCAGGCCCTCGGGCCGCTCGCAGACGGGCTGGCCAGATGCCTGCATGTTGGCGTAGGTCTCAAAGTCCCCTCCGGAGGCCCCGGGCATGGGGTAGCTCTGGTCCAGCCAGTCGGTCCAGGCACAGCGAGGCTGACAGGCAGTGGGCGTGGCCACTGAGGTCGTGGTGCTGAAGGTCGTGATGGGAGAGGTCGGAGCCTTCATCGTGGAGCCTGTAGCCATGGGGACGGCTGTAGAAGGGCCCGGCGTGGTGCCCGGCAGGGAGCTGGTGGTCACGGGAATGGGGGGCGATGGGGAGGGTCTGGTGCTGGCCCCTGGGCTGGAGGTGGCCCTGGTGGTGCTGATCACAGTGCTGGTGCGTCTGGGCAGGGTCTCCCAGGGCCTGGTGGTGGACTCTCTGGCCTGGGAGGTGCCGCTGGAGGCCGTGGAGGGCCTCACAAGGGTGGTGGCCCTGGTGGTGGGCGTCACTGGGGTGAGGGTGCCCCCTGAAGACGGGGAGGGGGCCGCCGTGGTGCCGGGCGTGGAGGGGCAGTGGCTGTAGTCGTCGCAGCAGAGCAGACGCACGTGGTAGTTGAGGCACATCCTGAAGCGGCCGCCCTGGTCGCGGTTGCGGCACACCAGCCC